ATGGCGGGGGTCTGGTCCCTAACCCGCCGTATAAGCAGTGCCCTACTGTACAATGAAACTTACAAATTTTTAGTCAGCTGAAGTTGTATGTTTTAAGGTTGATATAGCTATAATATTTCAGCTACAAGTAAGATCATTAACCCCTATGGGAAGAGAGTTGTGTGGGCTACCTTTAATTCTTATGGAAATATCAAGTACCTTGTTGACATGCGGAACAAAGCTTCCAGCTGTTCCTGATTGAGGCCCTCCATGCTGGGTGGTTTACTGGTTAACATTCCCTCCTTCCCACGCAAGAAGAAAGTAAACTCTTGATCAAGGCTAGGCTGATTTGGTACACCTTTCAGGTGAATACGACACAACAGCAATGCAAACGTCAGACGATCAATGTGAAGCATACCTCTGGCAACCCTTTCATAGCAAACCTGCAATGTCATTCAGTAATGTAATAAACACAAATCACTTATTAAGAATTTCACTTTACAGCATGTGAGGAAATGTTTGAACTACATATGCATATTTATACATGGCAATAACCTTTGGAAATGGTTCTGTATATGAACATGCAAGTCTGATTTTACTTACACCGAACAGATCCCGTGTTACAATTGCTAGTCTAGCTCCATGGTCTGTAACACTGCCTAGTTTTGGGTTGCTATACAACACAGAGCTGAAGATATCCAAGAAAAACTTGAGTGAATACTGGTACAGGAAATGAATCTGGTTAAGACTGTCCATTGTGAAGTAAATATTGCTGCATGCCTGTAATAATAACAGTCAAGTTAATACATAATAGTTGTTTCCTCAATATATAAACAGTGCAAGCCAAATAAAAAGGAAGACTCTCATGACATAATGCAACAGAATGGAGGCGGAACCCATGAGTACATTCAGTTGCCAAAAGTAAACTGCTTGAACCAAAAATTTCCCATTTGCAAGACTATAAGTGGGCCTGCTTTGGAAGAAATATTCTGATTACTGTATACAGGTAAACAATGATTAAACATTTGGGAAACACAGCTGGAAATGGCAAATGTGTCAGATAAAACTTCTGTTATATCAGTATTTGATTGTAATAACATTCCATTGTCAATGATAGACTCTCAGGCAACAAGCCGCGTCAGATGGCTGAATGGTGAATGAACCATTTCTTCCACCAACGTTTCGAGAGCCATCTCTGCTCTCATCCTCAGGGCAGCTGCGAAACGAAACTGGTCCTATGTAGCGTGCTTGCTGATGGCAGAAGAAATGGTTCATTCACCATTCAACCGCCTGACGTGGCTCGTTGCCTGAGAGTCTTTCATTAACTTCGGTTGCCGTGAAAGCTTCACTTTATACAACAATCCATTGGTTTATTTAATGCATTACAAGTACAAAGATGATTGTCTTCTGGGATATTGTGTCATGTAATCCTGCAGAACTTTATCAATATTTCAAAGCTGCTTGTGGGCTTCATCATCAGGACAATAAGTAAGCCTGGCAAAAGGAATTGGTCTGAGATATGGGGACCAGTTGGTCAAAATTTTACGTAGCACCTCTAAAACGTCGGTAAACTCTCACAAGACTACACAGCACAACATTCCAGAAGACAGTCGGTCACGTTAAATTTTTATACTGCTAATATACTAAGGATAAAAGGACAGAGTGCAATCAGATCCACATACCTGTGACAGAGGCATATACTGTTGGGATACAGTTTCAATTTCGCCTATCACTTTGTCTGTTTCCTCCACCTTCTTGCTAATGTCTGCTGCCTCCTGTTTCAAAGTTTCTAAGGTTGTGATTACACTATCATCATCCAGAATCTTGCCCTTTGCATCATTCAATGCCTGCAATAACGACTTTTCCAACTGACGCAATCGAAGATGGAACTCACCTGCACAGTAATTATTACAAAATAACTGCACATAATTCACAAAAAGACTTTCAATAAGCAGATATCAAGAGCTCAGACTATATTATTCAGTGTTCTGTCTTACGACAGGTCCATTGCTCTGCCCAAACAGAGCTCTCTCCAGTTTTCCCTATTCTCAGCTTAGCTCAGACTAAGGGAAAAAAAAAGTTGGACCACCCTTATTTAGAAGAAGGCTGCATTTTATCTCCCATATTTTCAAATAATTTTATTGCACACTTAACACACCAGACCTTTCAACTGTAGCATGCTGGTGAAAACCAACATTAAAATATTGATAACACAAACATACCCTGTAGTTTAAGGAGATCTGACCGCTTCTGATCAATGTCTGGGCGCTCTGCCTTAAGCACCTGGTTCAGACACTGACTCTGCAGTGAGCTACGAGTCACAGTAAAATTCACAAATGTCACACGAGAGCAGATGTCTGGTGGGAATTCCACTGTGGGATCACGGGTTGACAGAAAAATGACAAATGATGGTGACAGATCAATGTCCTGATCGCCAAGCGTGATAAGGACGCGTCCACCAGTTCGTCTTAGCTCTCTATTTAGAACAGGATTCAAGATAGGGTCATAATTCTCAACATCCTGTAAAAAGCACATGTAGCTATTAACACCTTGGGTTAAAAATTTTTGTTCATATTTCCTCACTCATTAAGTGAAAGCAAACATTTTAGCACAATTAAAAAACCCAATGACACATTATGTTTAAGAAAACATGCCTCTGAAAATGAATAAATTTTGTATAACTGTTATCACAAACAACTGACAATAAACATAAAAATGACCTGATATTGAGTGTACTACTATATAGTAAAATGTAATTCTTTAGAATCAAAAGCTCCTCAGGCACTAAAATGAAATTACTTTTTTTTATTTTTGAAGCATCCATGAAGATGAAGCATATAATACACTGATGGAGCAATAACTGAAAAATAAATTGTAATGTGTAAGACACTTCTTACATTCTTATACTGCATACTACAGTACACAGTTGGAATAAATTCTTAAGTTTATGCTTCCTTTCCCAGTTATTTAATGGATCTTTGTACATAATAGAAGCCATTGCAGTTTTACTTATCTCATAAGCAGGAATTAATAAATCAGATGAGAAACAATGCCCATGTACATAACACGCACACACAGAAATAAGTTACTTATACATAATACACATAGAAGTTTCCTTTGTTCAGTGAAACTTCTGTGATAAGAAGATAAAAAAAGTAAGATCATAGGTAAGTAAATATGATTGTTACCGTCTTACCTACAGACACATACAATGTGATTAATAATTTTAAGTGGTTACATTCTTTCTCCTGAAAAAAAGAAAACTAAATTATAAAGCAAGACTGCTCTTAATGCTAACATTTGAGAATTGAACATTTCCTTACTTGAACCAGAAGGGGATTTCCAAATCGAAGGGCAGACTCGAGATTCTTTCTAAATGAATCATCTAGAAAACTTGTTTTGGTTATTTTCTTGTCACGGAACTCATTGAGGATGAACTCCGTAGCTTGTCCAGATGGATCAATTATTAGCGGGTAACGATTGAAGCGCTGGAACAACAATATCACAATATTATAGTTATTATCAAGGTGACATGTATTTACATACTAAATTAATGTTCATGCAAATAAGCACTCTTATGGTTGTTTCCACTATTACAATAACACCCTAGATCTTCTCATTCTTACCTTAAGCATAATAGCATTCTCAGTGCAAAGGTCATCAGAAGGCAAAGCATTGGCTTGCCAGCGAAGGCGCTCATCAGGATTGGATAAGTACTCAGTACGAGCTATGTCAGCCCGAAACAGTAAGCCTGCCTGTTGCAGATGGTGGCACCACGTCGCAAACAAGTTCTGCCGATACTGAAGATAAATCCAACAAATATGAGACATGTCTTAATCGATAAATTATAATATGATTATAAGAGTAATACGGATGGCCAAAGAAGTGAATAATGTTTCAGAACGTTCCACATCTTCCCATATAAAGCATGTAGTAAGTTGTAGTTAAATGATTTTATACTGCTTCAAGCTAAAATGAGCTGTGGATTAACTGGAATGCAAAAGATGGGTTCTAAGAACATGATTTACATGTACAGCTGAACACTTACCACTGCCATTTGTATGCAGTGCAAAATATTTCAGCCCTCCCTGTTATAATTTCTGAAAATAATATCATGACACTGCTGAAACAATGTGTTTAAAGATATCTTCATCATAATCATTATATATATATATATATATACTGGAGTAGGTTCAACTGTCTTGTTCCTAAACCCTCTAGGTAAAATTTGGCACTACTCTTCAGGCTTCCAACCTTCACCTCAATGGTCTGAAATTTTCAACGGTTGCTTTGGTACTCTGTATGCCTTACTGCCAGCGAAATATTCTATCGACATCAAGTATCAGCAATCAGAGAGTGCTTAACCAAGCATATTATCACCATTCATGATAATTAAAGATTTTTTTTTCTGTTACTGTTACTTACAACCAACTAAATGACTGACTGAATGACTTATTAAATAACTAATTAACTAACTTCTTGGAGCACAGTCCTTCTTGAAAGGCTGGCAGTACACTCAGCTAGTCAAGAAATTCCCTACATTTTATGAAACCTTAGGTTCAGTACCATGTTCACAAAATCCCACCAATGTTAGATTAATTCTGTTACAATATTTACTTAAAGCTGCACAGAGCAGTGAAATGTCTCAGTATAATAGCTAAATAATGCAACTTACATGTTGGTCGAAATAACCTGCATATGCCAAGAAAGCTGATGAAAGCAAGACATCTCCAATAATGGTTAACATCTGAGAACGAAATGTCACACTTGTTGCTTCCCAGCGGTCGCGTTCAATGCCCAAAGACTTCAGAAGAGCAATTGAACGATCAACCTAGAACAGACAAAATAATAATTACAGTGAAACCTCGATGCATCGTTTTCGGCGGGGGTGGGAAATAAAAACGATGAATGCGGGAAAACGATAGATGCGGGAAAGCATTAAAATTTTAAAAAAACAAACAATGTTTCTCTTTCAAAGTTACTTCTTTTTACCAAAAAAGTCTTTAGTTGTCAACTGGTTTGTCGAAACTTTACGTTTTAGGCCAAACAGAGCCCTTTCCACGTTCAAAATG